GCGAGTCGCGAAAAAATCTCAGAGTTATTGTGGTAAGAATGAAATTTCATTATTTTAGGGGTGACATGAGTTTACTGATATCCTAAACATTGCTTGAGGACAAGCAACAAGCTAAGTTTAGGGTTGTGATCAGTCACCATTTGTGCTATAGTTTCTATTGCTTATTCGTCAAAAATCCATAAAAATCGTAACACTTTTTTCTTAGTTAGTAGTTGTTTGAGTCATTCTTTATTTAGTTACTGTTTTAAGAGTTTTAGTTTATTTTGGCTATTTTTACGCTTTTTGGTAGTGTGTTAGTTGAATACAGGTTCATGAAGTCAAAGGACCACAGAATGGACCTGAGCAGCTGAGCAGATGGAGGAAACAGAGAAAAGAATTCAAGACTTCCCATACGCATATGACCTGGTGCGTGGCTCGCCCTTACACATTCCATACGAGAATCAACAAATCAAAGCCACACGCTTATGATATGTGTATGGAGGCCCAAATTTGGATGAAAAGCCCTTTGCACGTTATTGTACCCCAAAATTTGCCCTCTCATTCTTCAAGGCATTTCTCACAAGGATTCTCAGGGTTTAAGTTTGCACAAGTGCATTGGGATCTTCCAGTACCGAAATTAAAAGGAAACTATAAAAAAAAGAGAAAACAGATAAAAATAACATTTTGACAAGTTTAGAGGAAAACATGTCTCCTTCGATTCAGCACCCTTCGATTGACTCTAAGCCTCCTTCGAATGCAAGTTTAGGTACATCCTTCGTTTGGATTTGAAACCTCCTTCAAATGCAACTTGGGTACATCCTTCGTTTGGATTTGAAACCTCTTTCGAATCCACTTGCACCAAGGGCCTCTTGCAGACTTTGCCTCTCACAAGTTTCGTTTGAGCCAAGAGATATCTTCATACAAGATTTGAATAAGTTCTTGCTTCCCTTGAAAAAAGCGCCCTTCAATTCAGAGTCCATGAACTTCCCTCGTTCTAGAAAGACACAAGGCAATGACTCCCTTTATGTTTGTTTCGATCCACATGCTTCGATTGGGTAATATGCTTCCTTCGAGCATGAGCTTTCGATTTGGCAATATGTTTTCTTCGATACAAGCTTCAACTGGGCATTAGCTTGTTTCGACCACAAGCTTCGACTGAGGGAAAGGCTTCCTTCGAACAAGTGTGTTTCGATCTCATTCTTGCATTCGACTCAAGACCAAATCTCATTTTCAATGCTATGCTGCTTCCAAATCTTTACATAATCAGAGGGTTACGAAAGTTTGTGATACATTTCCTAAGGGTTCAAAGGTTTATTCATTGGATAATACCATTCTTGGATAAATTGGCAAAAGACTATGTACCCTTTTTTATTTTATAAAAGGTACTTTAGTCACAAATCAACTTTCAACCTTATTTTGGTCTGAGCACAAGCAAGTCCAGAAGCATAAGTCACATCTTCTGCACCCCAACTGCCAAGAGGTCCCCCACATGTTCTTTCACGTTATATTATTTTATCATTTCTTTGCAAGGCTGGCTTTAGACAACATGTCCATTCTTTCTCTATAAATAGAGGAACATTTACAAAGCTAGGGGAGGATCTTTGGACCAGAGAAACGAATCCCCCAAATTTTCTCAAACACAACAAAAACTCTCAAGTTCATCAACACTTAAGAAATCACAAAAAGCCCAGAATCACATCCATCTCCTTCAATTCTGAAGAACAACCGCACTCCAGTCTCCTTCGAATCAAAGAAGCATCACACTTGCTTTTTCTCTTCCTTCGAATCCAGCGTTCCAAGCACAACTATTGACCCCCTCTTTCGAATCCAGCATCCTGGGCCTCCACTCAAGGTCCCACATCCATTCAAGGCCTGAAGTAAGGTAAGTTATTCTTACCTTCGGATTTTTTGTTTCATGGCATAATAATTTTCCCTTTCATTTGAAACATGTACATACCATTGTTCCTTTCGTTTCCACCCTTTTAACATATTTTTTCAGAGCTAACCCTTTCATTTTGCTTTCTGTTTACCCGAACTTGCTTTAACTATTAAACTGTTTACAAGACAAATACTAGCATGGCATCAGGCCATGTTGCCATTTAATGCTTTAAATGAAAGAAACAGGAAATAGGAAACGAAGCTTCTGGCTTTCACCCTCTTTCTCCAGGTCAAACGAAAGAGACAACTAGGAGGTAGACCATGTTGACTTCCAGGCTCAGTCGAAAGGCATTCCCTCACTTCTTTCAACCTCTAGTCGAAGAAGGCAACAAATCAGACCATATTGACTTCCAGGCTCAGTCGAAAGGCATTCCCTCACTGCTTTCAACCTCCAGTCGAAGAAGGCAACAAGGCAGAACCAGAAGGCTTCGCCATACACTGGTGCCAGCCTCTAATCGAAGGCCATGACCTCACTGGTGCTGGCCCCAATCGAAAGGGGCCATGAAGATTGAGTCGAAGGATGCTACTGCCTGGGTCGAAGAGCTCATTTTCCTTTCTTTTATTTTGTTTTTACCTTTATATTTTCTTGCCTTTCAATATGGTTGTAATAGTGTATGATATTTATTTCCTACATTTTTATTGCTTTATACAAATGTTAGTAACTAGGATGTATGGTAAGATAAAACCAACAAATAGGCCACCCTAATCAAAGACTAAATGCATGTAAATCAAAGACATTATTCACACATGCACCTCTAGGGTAATTCCATTTGTTGCCTATCGGAAAATAGTCATGTCCCTCGAACATGGGCGTTTTAGCAAAAGACCCTCGATAAAAGATCGTAGTCCCTCGATGACCCTCGATATTGCCTTCGGTAAATGATCTAGTCCCTAAAACGACATTGCTAAAACGTCCCATATATTGTCTTCTATGACTATACAAACGTCCCAACGCCCGTCCCTTCACATCCAACGATGGAGCTTCTTACCAAATAAATGGTAAGATAGCAACATCTAAAGGAGGAGAAAAAGTACATCTAAGACCTTTTGAGTAGGTAGATTTGCTCCTAGTTGCTCGCTTGCTCACAACGAAAACACTTTATACACCAACACTCTCACTTCGAAACATTTTTCAAAAGATAACACTTTATATACGTTCTTATAGAAACGAGAGCCATTAGAAAGGAAACCCTTTTCAAAATCACTTTCAAAACACATTTCACAAATATCCCTTTGAACTATTTTTGAAACAAACACTTTGTATGCGTTCTTATAGAAACGAGAATTATTACAAAGTTATATTTTCAAAATAGTTTCAAAAACCACACCACAAGCACATTCAAACAAAAGCAAGTGATCTAAGCAAGTAACTAATAGCCCATGAAAAACCATGGATGAAAAGGATGCTAACACATTCCCTTTTCATAATTTACCCCCCGAACTCAAGAAACAATCTCAAAGATCTTTCCTGTGCTTTTTCACCTTTTCTTTTGGATAAAAGAAAAGCCGATGGCGACTCTTGCTAACCGCAACATTTGCAATAAAACGCAAAAACCTCAAGTCAGTTCTCCCACCGTATCATAGAACTGGCGACTCTGCTGGCGAATTTTTTCTAAAAGTGGGGTTACCTTAGGGCTAGATCACCTTCATTTGCTTACATTGTTTGATTTGTTTGCTTTATATTTTGGTTCCTTGTTTGGATTTGTTTTAAATCCTACACCCGGATTTGGGGACACTACAGCGAAATATATTATGAAATATCTCAGTAGCACACCACTTATGGGTTTATGGTATTCCAGAAGGACAAATTCCACTTTAGTTACTTACTCTGATTCCAATTTCGTTGGTTGTAAGTTGGATAAAAAAAAGCTCTCTCTCTATGTGTGTGTGAGCCCGTGAGAGTGTGTGTGTGCACGCACGTAAGTGTGTGCATGTGTGTGACTAAGTGATTGATCTTCCGACTCAGTTAAGAAACTTTGAGGAATTAAAACATCATTAGTGAAAAAAGTTGTTGACGAGAAGGCAAATGTGTTAATCTCATAAGCAATTTAATTCATTAGCATTGGAAAAAATGATTACATGGGTGGTTATTAACTAAATTAACAATGCAACAAAACTATCATCTTTAACTTTATAGCGGTTTCTTTTAGTTTTAAAGAAATAGTTTTTTTTTTTTGTATTTTTATAAAATGTTTTTATAAAAATATTTTTTAAAATATTATAAAGTTTTTTTTTTAGTTTATGTTTTATAAATTAAAAGACTAGTTTTGTCATTCTATAACATAAATAACTATTATTGAAAATTAAAACATAGTTAAAATCACATTTTTTTGAAATGTTGTATTTCAAAAATAATTTTTATAAAAAATTATTTAAAATAACTTTAAAATAAAGTGATTTTTAAAATTTTAATATTCAAAAGAGTTATAATAAAATTATGAATTGCCTAAAAATAACATTTTAAAATAATTATTCCAACCAAATTTTTATTTAAAAATTTACCAAAAAATAATTTATAAATATTTTTTAAACAAAAATATATAACATTATAAAAATTATTTAAAAATGAAAATAAAACATATATGTTAGGATAGTTATGGTAACCTTGACAAAAGCAATTCAAGTAAGAATCTGTTTTAATTGATTCCTTAGTAAATAATAATATTATACTATAGTACAAGAAGATATAGTTTTACAAGCCTAAGTAGATGCAAAATTATCTTAAAAACTAACCAAAGCTCAAGAAGTTAAAGTTTTACATGATATAATAACAATTTTATAAAACTCATAAAACTGTTAACAGGGTTTTTAAAACTCTCAAAAAATATATCTTTTTCTAAAATCTTATAAAACTCTTAAGAGGGTTTTTATGTCTCATACCATAGAGTTAATTAAGATATCTATCTACATTAGGTGATTAGATATTTAACCATAGTTAAGCTTTTCTGTTAGTTGTTCAGTTTTAAATTTCTGTTATAACTAACTTTGGTTCCCATTCTCCAAAACAAAACAGTTATCATTCCATTCTACAAAACAAGATTCATCTCCAAGAAAAGAAAAAGAAGAAGAACCAGAATCAGAAAATGTTGAAATCAGTATTCACCAGACAGAAACATCACACATCAACACGTCCATTCAAAGAATACTACACAGAATGGTCCAACACCCTAAAAAACAACCACCTCCCGTTGCTCCGTCGCTCGATCTCCGGAGACTCGTTAACCCTTCTCTCAACCCACGTTGAGCTTCTCCACCAGCATTTCCAATCTTACTACCACGCCCTCGACGCGGCCGCTACCGCCGAGCCTTCACAGATTCTCAACCAAGACTGGCGTAACTCCTTGGAAAAGCCTCTCCTTTGGATCTCCGATGTCCACCCTTTCGTCTTCACAAACCTCGCGCGTTCGTTTCTTGACGATGAAGAAATCGAAGCAGGCGAAAACATGTCTGCTTCGATCTCTTCTGACCGTTCTGACCGTGCCTGGCAGATATCCATGGCGTGGAGGAACCCGTCAGAGACGCTGATATCGCGCATGGAACAGATCGAATGCGGGCTGAAATCCATCGTCCCAACGCTGAACGAGAGACTCGCCCGCGCGGAAGGAGGATTCATCGACCGTGTAGTCGGAGACTGGTTTTCGTGTAAGGATCGCAGCGATAATAAAGGGAAAGTTGTTCTGGGAAATGATGTGAAGGCTTACATGGAAGAGTTTGTGAGTGTTTTTCTCTATGCAAATAGATTGAGGAGAAGTGTTCTTGTTGATATTATCAGTGCTGCTTCTGTTTACCAATCTGCATTGTTTCTTGAAGGGTTGTCGATGTTTCTTATCGGGTTTAAAGATCATGATTTGGTTAATTCTGTTGAACATTCCAAGAGTTTTTGTTTTGATCATGGTAAAGATCATAAAGAGTTTTGCGGTTCAAGGTGTCACTGATTGCTTCAAGAATCTTGTTTTGGTGTGTATGTAATGTAATGTATGATAGTTTGAGTTCATGTTAACTCTTTTCTTTTTCTATTGATTTCTAGTGTTGAATATTGAGATGGCACAGTTTTTGTGTTCAGTGAAATAGTGTACATGTCAGAGATTAGAATGTAGCAGAAGAGATGATTTCTGATATGATAAGTGAAGAAATTTCAGTTACTGTATTTGATTATCTGAATCACCAAAATCTGTATGAAAAAACAAAAGAATGCCGCAGCATTTTCCAAAGGTTTATTATATTTTTAACATGTTTTAGTTAAAAGTATTAAGCTCTACCAATTATTCGAAGAGATAAATTTGATAACTTTGTAAACTTTTTTTTATATATAGAAATAACTTTGTGCATTTAGTACTATCTACGTAACATTTTGTTTAAGATTTTTCTAAAGATATTTTATACAAATAGTTTGGAGATTATTTTGTAGAGAATTTAAAAAAAAATTCAAATATGTTTAAAAGAACATTCAAGTTTGTTAGGATAAAATGGTTATGCTTGCTATTATTGATATCACAATGGTCCTTAAATAGGCTTGTTACAATCGGTAAGTTAATACTTGTAATAGAAGTAACTAACATATGTCTAGTTACAATATTAAGCCTAACAAACACTCTCCTAATTTGAACATTTGCTAGCACAAACACACTAACAACAAACAAAATATCAAACAGGGACTAATTAATCTAAATTAGATCAAACACACTACGCTTAATGTTTAAAAGGCGTGTCACATCAACAAGTTTTCCTTTAGAGTTGCAATGATACAATTTTATCACATCATATTTGGTCTATCCTTAACAAGTTGTTAAAATCGTGATTTTAACTCTAAACTCCATATTTCACGTTTTTAGATTAGTATTGTGTTAAATCGTAGGTAATAATCTTTCGAGTTAAATATGTTTTTCGTCCTTATAAAAAATTTCTTTGAATAATGGTCCTTCTAAAAAATTGTCATCCACACTTTTGATTCCTCTTGCTAAAATCGTCTCTAATTCAGTCGTTAAGTAGAAATTATCGTTAAAACTGTCGTTAATTATGTCGCTAAAATCGTTGTTAATTATGTCGCTAACACTGCAAGAATAAACAAAATTAGCCAGGAGATAATTCTTTCACAAATGGCAAAAACCCCTCATAAATACAAAACTTACGAGGGAACAAGACATCTAGCAAATCAGGAGGTCGCAAATTGATTTGCGAGGGGCTCTCCACGTCACCATTTTGTTTGGGACTTACCCCCTTACAAAATACAATTTAAATTTTACAACCTACAACATGCAGACGTAAGCGCAGGTTACGGGGTCAGCTGATGCTACAGTGCATCATAACTTTTACTTGGAGATAAGCCCCTCGCAAAACACACTAGTTTTCTGTTTGCTGACAAAATACAGACGCTGACATTTTCTTTGAAGTTTATCCCCTGATATATTTTAAAAATAATTATAAAAAAAATTAATAGAATAAAATTAATTATAATATAATGATTATAATTAATATAATTAATAGAATAGATATAATTAAAGATAATAAATATAATAGTTAAACTTTAATCAAACATATAATTAAAATTCAATTAAACATAATAAAAATTAAAATAAAACTTAATATAAATTACAATAAAGTTAAAATTAAGTTTTAAATAGTTAACATAAACTGGGGTCAGCTGATGCTGCAGTAGGTCAGAGTTTTTGTTTGGGGATAAGTCCCTCGCAAAATACACTAATTTTCTGTTTGCTAGGGGTTAAGCCCCTGATAAAATCCAGGCGCTGACATTTTCCTTGAAGTTTATCCCTTGGAAAATTTTAAAAATAATTATAAAAAATAATAATATTAATATAATAAAAATAATAATATAATAATTATAATTAATAGAATAAATATAATTAAATATAATAATTAAAATTCAATCAAATATATAATTAAAATTCAATTAAACATAATAAAAATTAAAATAAAACTTCATGCAAATTACAATAAAGTTTAAATTAAGTTCTAAATAGTTAATATAAACTCCTCCATACAAATTAAAATAAACTTCAAATTTTTAAATTTAATTATTCTATTCATCTTATTCATCTTGTTGATCTTGTTGTTCTTCTTTAACAACTCCTCCATATCCACTAGTTCCTCCAAATCCACCACCAGAATTTTGTGAAGCAAAAAATTGATCAAATCTCTCTACTCGCTCATTTGCAATTCGTATTGCTTCTTGATACTCCAATGCTTGCCTCTTTCATTCTTCCCGCAACTCTGTCTCTCTTCTCTGCATTTTTTGTTGCATCTCTAATTGTTTTCTCTTCATCTCTTCAATTTCTGCATTTTTTGCTGTTACTTGGAGTGTTGCCTCAGTATTCGCCAAGTTTCTCACTATTTCAAGCATTTCAGCGGCTAATATAGGTGGAGTTGATGTTCCTTCTCCATCAGAAAATTTCATTTTGAAACTTCTATCACGTCGCTTGATAGTTTTGGCGTACCCTCCAACATCTTACACTCTCTCATTTTTCTTCTTTCCACCTGAAACATCATACAATGTCTGAAAACCCAAACTAGGGTCAGCAGGATATCCCGATGGTGGTCCAGGCATTTTAGGATGTTATTAACGGGATTTTATTATGCTTAATCTTTGATTTTGTGTTGATTGTATGAATGCATGAAACTGATCAAGGCATTTTGTTTCATTTTGAGGATAATTATCTAGCCAAATAATCAATTCACCTGTGAGTGTGTGAATTTTTGTTAACCTCTTTTGAGCCTTTTTATCAATGTCTATGTTGTTTTTTCTAAATTCTTGTCTATGAGTGTTTGGTTTTCCTTTTTATATGGATATTGATTCTTTGTTTTCTTGAACCCTCAACCATTGTTTTTGGTTTGAATTTTTACCTTGCCTTAGAAAGTAGGGAGTACTCACTCATTGATGTTGGTTGAACTCAAGTTGAAGAGAGCAATGTTTGCTCATTTATATGTTGGTTTCTATGAGATTGAGAAATAGAAAAGAAAAAAAATGAAAAATAAAGATTAAAAAAATAAAATAAAAAATTGAAAAAGTTTTAAAAAAGAAAAACAAAAAGAGTATGAAATAATGTTGTGATAATAAGTGATGTGTGTTGATTTGAAATTTAGAATGAAGAAGTTTGATTGAAATTTTGTGTTTGAGTTTTTGTGAGTTGATCACTCCCTTAGGTTTAGGAAAGTTTTTGTTTCGATTAGCTTTAGGACTTATCCCTTGTTTGTTAACCAAGCCACATTACAACCTTGAAAAGTCCTTGTGATTATTGCCTTTGTATTTTCAATATGAGTTTTTAGATGAATGCATAATTTAGTCTATTGTTTGCAAGATTATGGATGAGTGTTTTTATCCCTCACCTTTGTGTGTTCTTCATCTACCGATAAATTTTTGCTAGGTGTGATTCATGATTGAGCTTGTTTAGTTTTAAAATGTTTAGTATGATTTTTGTACTTAGGATTCATTTCGTTTATATGTTATCGTATAGGATTGTGTGTTTTTGTTTGAACCATACATTTGTTTTTCGTTTTTAAAATTTGTTGAATCATGATTCTTAAGTTGATCATTTTTGCTTCTTTGAGTTGTTTGGCCTTGTTTGAGGATAGACAAGTTCAAGCTGGTAAGAGTTTTATAAGTGCAAATTGTAGTTATTTATACTTTTTGTTGCACTTATCGAATCTTTATTGTTAATATCAGTTGAATTACCCAACTTTGTGTATAAATACATTTAGTTTGTATATAATTCATTTTCGTGTATAAAGTGTATCGTTTGATAGTTTTGTATTAATTTTGTAGGTATTTGAGCATTCTTGGAGCAAGAGGAATAAAAGCTCCAAGATACAGTGTTGGATCAATAAAGGAATAAGGCCAAGATGAGAGAGCCATTGGAGTTATGCAGAAGATGCAACAAAAGTTGTTGTTCTTGTGTGTCGCGTCGGGCGAAGCCTGGGCGAGGAGCCTTCGTGTCGGCCTCGTCGGGTGACGGAGGGGCGAGAGGACTGGATCATTTTTCCAGTAGCTACTAACTTGGGCTCGTCAGCATTTCGTTGGGCGAGAAATAAGGATGTAGTTCGGAGAGGGTGGATGTTTTTCCCCAGTTGCGTACATGGCGCAACCTGGGCCTTGTATTTAATGGTTATCGCCAACCAAAGCTTTTATGTCATCGGGCGACGTGTGCGGACTAGATTTTGTATATATTTCTATTTCATTTCTTTTTTTTTGTTATGGTTTTAGGGATAGTTTTTCCCAACTCCATTAACCCTCATTTTTCTCTAGGTTTAGCTTAGAAAATAATATTGAAGCTTGCATACGGATGATCCGGGATGAATTTCTCTTCGATCGACACTGAAAAACCGTCAAATTTGTGGTTTATTTCTTTTCTTCTTTGTGTATTCTTTGTATGTTGAGTTTGTATATGTATTTACTTTGATCTTATGTATATTTTTGCCCATGGAGTTATATTTAATTTTCTTTACTAATCTTTGTGAATTGTTATCCTTGATTTTCGTCCTGTGCTAGGGATTTGGGTTGTTATAGACATACACTGCTCGAATTCTTATCTAGGATGATAGTCTGTTAGTTTTTGGATTCTAGAGATAGATTTAGAGTTGGAATTCACTTGGGTGTCTGTGATTGAGGTCTCCGTGTTGGTTGTGTTGACTGAGAGATCGTTAATCCGAGTAACACGGTTGACTTCTTTATTGTTGAGGTTGGTTGAGAGATTGCCATTGAGGTGATACAGTGGGTGTTAATTTTAACACATGATGACATTGATGAGTATCGTAGGTTGAGTATAACTGGTCGATGGGTTTAAGTTTGTGAGGAGTTGATTATATGCATGCTTGATAAGTTTCTCATTTGAAGAATGAATTTATTTTCTATTAATAACTTTTACCTTTCCTTACTTCAACCCATTTTACCCAAACTCATTAACGAATTATTTGTCAAACGAAA